TGATCACGCCTTCCTTCGGATGGGAAGTAAAGCCGTTGGTCCCCGGTTCATGAGTTGATGGGTCGATAGGTAGGGTCCAGGTGTGGGAGCTGCCTTCCTGGCACGTCGGTAGCATTGGTGCTCAGCACGGAAAACAAGATCGACGGAAAAAACAAACCAAGGAAAAAAAAAACAAAGCACGTTGATAGTTTTTGAGGAATTTTCTCTCCTTCTTCCTCTTCATGGACAATCATCTATATACTTTTTTTTATTTATATGGACGGCGGACACTCATCGGCTTCCCATTTACCGTAAATGTGGTTTACCCCAAACAGTGCTATGAAACTCCTTAGCTACTCACTGATTTTGTCGTGACAAGGGAGATTTTAGAAAGGAAGAAGAAACAATCATTTCACCTCAATTGGAAAGATTTGTAAGCAATTTATCGCCTTAATAAAGAAAATTGTAAATGGGGTCAAACTGGTGTTCATTGCGACAAGCAGCTCGAATTAGGTCGAAGTGCCGTTCCGCTTAAAATGTCATTGCGTTCGAACCTTAACGCAAGAGAGAACGATGAGAGAGCAAAGGGTGGCGAACGTCTTACGCAGGAGAAGACTCTATTGACATAAACATGCTTGGCATACACAGTTGTACACACCAACTGCTCATTTGTTAATAACTTTTCACTCAGTTGTTGAAATTTGTTTTTCTTTAAAGCAATTGATAGATTAGGATCATAGCTTACTATAGATATGTAAAAAGTAGATAAATCTTAACATTTGAATCAACACCAATTAATTTTTACTCTTACAGTCCGAGATGTGCAGCAAGCATTTACATTTTTACAACACAAAAACAAATATAGTTTATTACTTGAATTAAAATCTACTTTGTTTTGTGTATCTAAGACAAACTTAAAGTATATTCTATCTACTGCTTCAAAAAGAACTTTGTTTCGTCAACTTTGTGCAAAGTTATTAGCAAATGAGCAGTTCGTGACCAAATCTGTGTATGCCAAGCATGGACATAAAGCTAATCGAATTATTGAACATTTTAATTAATTTTCAAAGTGTCCATTTGAAAAAACTAAATTGACGTTTTCTTGAATTCCCTGGGCATAGAGAAAGCTCTCAACTATTGTAACATTCAGCGGATTTGATACACCGGTCATTAAGTTTTTCCCAAAAGGGCCTTTGCACAAAGTTTCACGTGGCCTTTGCTGTTTGAAATGCACTACCACGTCTAATGAAAGAATGAAAGAATGGAAAATACCCAATAATAACTGTGCAAGTGCATCGAGAACACTATGTTTAAAGTCGGTATAAGAAGCGGCTGTCTGTGATTTACACGAAGTGCTCCGAAGTGGACGAAGTAGACGCGGCTCCATACCTATCTTGATCTTGATTGACATTTGCCTTCCGAAAATGACAATGACTGTTGGCAACCACTAAAGTTGAAACCATGAAGCACTGCACCAAAACCATTCTCTGAAGACCATTTTTCATTCAGCTGCGTAAAACGCCACACAGTAATAATACGGATGACAATAGGCAGTAAACAAAGAAAAAGAAATGGTATCAGATGATATTTCCAACTAATACGAACCTATTGAAAGACATGAGGAGCGACCTTTAAACTTTCGAATGAATGATTTTGCGGCCCTTTCGGACTTTTTGCTAAACGTTGACTGGAATGCGATATCTACTATCATAGATGTCGAGGAAATGGCGGAAATGTTTTGTTTCATTTTGAACGATTGGCTTGTTTCGAATGTTCCACGAATTCGGCCGTCAGTTTCGCCTGCCTGGAGTACTCTCCGTTTACGGGATTTAAAACGCACTCGCAATGCTTGTCAACGGAAACTACGTCGTCAACGAACGCCTGGCAACAAACGAAGTTTTCAACAAGCCAGCAATGCGTACCGGTTTTCGAATGCCACTCTCTAGAAATCTTACGTATTGCGTGTGCAAATGGGTCTGAGAATAAATCCACGTGGTTTTTGGCGCTTTGTTAACTCCAAACGGAAAAGTGCAGTGATCCCAACGAATGTCTACCTGAACGAAATGACTGCAGCGTCAGCTACAGAGTCATGCCAGTTGTTCGCCAAGCATTTTGCATCCGTATTCGCGACGAATCCCACCTCAAACTTGGAAATTGATGAAGCCACCAGTGATGTTTCCTCTGATTTTGTTGAGTTTGGACTATTTGCTGTAAATCCAGAAATGGTCTCATTGGCTGGTAATAAACTGAAACGTTCGTTTGTCCCTGGTCCTGATGGTTTGCCTGCAGTTATAATATGCCGTTGTATTGCCGCTTTAGCACAACCGTTCACTTCAGCAAGCAAAATTCCCTCGCATTTCGAAGCAATCGTTTATGACACCCATTTTCAAACGTGGTGAGCGTTTCAATGTTGTTAACTATCGGGGAATAACGAGTCTCTCAGCTGTCTCAAAATTGTTTGAGATTATAGTGGGTGGAGTTATTCTCGATGCCACAAAAAGCTACATATCCACTGATCAACACGGATTCATGCCCGGACGATCGGTTACCACCAATTTGTTGAATTTTACGTCGAAGTGCATAACAAGTATGGAGGAAAAAGCGCAAGTCGATGTAATTTATACCGACCTGAAGGCGGCGTTCGATAAAATTGATCATAACATACTGCTACACAAGTTATCTCGTCTTGGAGTTTCTATGCAATTGGTTTTTTGGTTGGAATCCTACGTTACAGAGCGTGTACTTCGAATGAAGGTTGAGGGTTGTGTATCTTCACCGTTTTCAAACAATTCTGGAGTTCTGCTTTGGTTCTGGGTGAAGGATTCAAACTGGTCAATGCAGATGATTTAAAGCTATACATTGTGGTGCGCACACAAGAATATTGTTGGCTCTGCAAAACTCGCTGACTTTGTTTGCCGATTGGTGCCAGAGAAACAAACTGACTATAAGCGTGGAAAAATGTCAGATAATCACGTTTCACCGCATGGTACATCCAATTTTGTTTGACTATCATATCGACGGCGATACTCTAACCAGAGTTACCAGTGTGATTGATCTAGGGGTTTAACTAGACACCAAAATGACTTTTGATTTACACCGTTCAGCGATCATATCGAAAGCAACGCGACAGTCGGGCTTTATTTCCAAAGTTGCGAAGGATTTTTCGGATCCACATTGTTGGAAGTCATTGTACTGTGCACTTGTCCGTCCAATTTTGGAAAATGTGTGCCTAAAGATCGAACGGGTTCAGAAACGGTTCATTGGTCTGGCACTGAGAAACTTGCCGTGGAGTGATCCTGACAATTTGCCGCCGTATCCTGAAAGATGCCGACTGTTGAGCTTAGACACACTGGAACAACGACGGAAAGTACAGCAATCGTTGCTTATTGCTAAGCTGTTGAATGGTGAAACTGATACCCCCAACCTGCTTGCGATGTTGAACTTTCGTGTGCCGAGCAGATCTCTTCGGAATACAACGCTATTGCAACCAAGTTTTCACCGAACCATGTTTGGGAACAACGAACCAATCTCAGCGTATATTCGTGCGTTTACGGCTGTCGAAGAGTTTTTCGCGTTCAATGAACCAACCGAACGTTTTGCAAATCGGATAAGGTCTGTGTTTAATTAGCTCTAATTTTATTCAATAAGACAAAATTGCCAGATGAATTATTTTAAATACAAATACAAATATAACATAATATTAAATCGATTAAATGCTCTGTATTCCTGGAAAAATGGTTTAGCTGCGTAGCTACTCAGATTTACTGTCCTGTCCATGTTTTTTTTTTAGTCAGATGAGCAGAGCGACAGGCACTTGTCTAGAATGAGCTTTCAAAAGAAGCATCTTTTAGAATCTTCTATTCGAAGGTTTTTATTCTTCAGAAACTTATTCTTTAGAATCATATTTTTTAGAAACTTATTCTTTAGAAGCTTATTCTTTGGAAGCTTATAATTTGGAGGTTATTATTTAGCAGCTTATTCAAGACGCTTTTAATTGAATTTATATTGCAAAATCAATTTTCTCGTTGATAACTCTTCCATGGTTCTTTGGTGCTTCTCGGGCTTACGAAAGAGGTCGACACCGTATGCTGGAATTAAGTTAAATAAAAAAAAATCAGCATTCACGAAACCATCACCATACAAAAGAGAGCGCTTTTCCTATCATTTTGAGACTTGTGATGAAATATTTCCCTTTTTCATACATTATGGGGAAATTTGAACATTTGTTTTTATGGGTCATTTTAATTTTAATTTTGTTGTTTTTGAACTTAAGCTGGAACTTTACACCGGCTCTCAACATAGTGGAAAACTTTCCCTGTTGTGAGAGTTTTAATCTCTGCACTTTTCACGATGATTCTGAGAGAATTATATTATTATAAAAAAAAAAATCAGTATCGCTGAAACATCCCTTAAACGAAAGCTTAGGCATTCGCTTTTCGAATAAGGCTAATATCGAAGTTTTATATCGGGAATCTAGAACAATGTTTATTGTTTTCGTATAATGTATGCAAGCACTTAAATTTTATTATGGTCTTTCAATATCGACAGCATCATCTCACTTTTTATTATGTTGCTAAGTAGAAGTAATATTTAATAAAAAAATAATTGTGCGGAGCTATATGCCTACCAGAAAATTTCCTACAAAAGGCCGGGAATCGAACCCAGCTGTCTTTGGTATTGCCTTTTAAAGCTGCGCCTTCACCGTCTGTGCAAACGGAGGCCCCTACAGGCTGGCACAATTCTTAAAATTTGATTAATGCTAAATCAACATGCCCTCCTCTATTCGTTAAACGAGTTTAATTACCAAGCAACCACAATTCATCAGCGTTTATCATAGTAAACATGTACAGTGCTTGCTCTGTAAGTTTGGTTGGATCTCTACCGGTTTAACAAGTAGGCGCTGTTTATTTAATTTTCACACGACCGGTTCTGCTTAACTAAAACATAACTTATGACCACCACTCGTGAGTCCGGTAGCGGTAGTTGCATTCAGTGCACAATTTTGCGTAATTGTTACCTACCTGTCTGTGGTTTTGCAGAAGTTTTCTTTTTGTGCTCTGCTATCGTCCAAGTTCAAGTGCAGTTGCAGCTGTAAACAAATCCTGTCTTTCTCTGATTAACCTTCTTAGTGTAGGCAAGTCTTCTGGATCTGGCAGGTTGACGTCCTTGAATGAGCAAAAACGCACGGATCGGTGCAGTGTGCTGTCGATGGAATGAGTCTGATAAAGTTCATCAAGCAATCATTCCAACCATCAGGAACTTTTCGTAACGTCATCAACCAACCGGCCCCGTTCCGTCTGTCGATTCCGCCGTTACACTAAACCGGACCACGTGCAACTTTCCGTGCTACAACCAATTTGAGCGCAACGTTCACTAGCCAGGACGACGGATTACTTTGGCATGCAATAGTAGAATTTGAGCAAATTACAACCACCGTGGTATGCTTTTTCACCGTTTCACTGCTGCCAGCTTATCTGGGAGTCTACTGCACTATTTCCAACTTTTCTAGATGCTTTTTAATTACACGGAGTTTTTCCTCGTTTAATTGACGTCTTCAGTGCACAAATTTCTGAATGGCTCGATCGTTTAGGTGCAGAATTGAGCATAAATCCAGTTTATCAATTTCACAAAAACCTTTCACCCAAAAACAGCCAAGTTTTGATAATGATTCTTCACCATATAGCAATGCGAATTCATCCAAACGCACATGGTTTTCCCGGGACAGCGATGGGCAGCGCGAGTTTTCCCGCTCGTTTTTCCAACCTGCTCACGACGACGCTTCGCAAACGACTGGCTCTGTGATTCACGGTGGTTCTATGTTGCCCGCTGTCTAGTCTAGCCGGCTTGTTTTCCATTGGCCTTATCGCGCCGACGGACGCACATCGACGTCGTGTTTATGCTGCATTCGGTTGGCAATCGCTTTCGGTTGATGTGTCGCTTTTGGGATCGGGATGATTTTTCGAACTTTGTCGGGATGAATGCTCTTGTTTGGCTGTTGGTGGGTTAACTGACAGTGCTCTGAGGTTCGCAGATGAGAATAGTGTTTTTGTTCAAAAAGCCAAAGAGTCAGTATTAAAATATTGACTCCTTTAACATTCATTAGTTCATCAACGATATTAGTTTATAAGATGTAATATGAAGTATTTCCTTCTGCCGGAAAAATTATGGGTAGCAATAACTTGAAAATTTTAAAAGAAAATTTACCTAACGGAAATCTGAAGAAAGCAATATAATTTAAAAAAATACACTAAATGTATATCATATTGTGCTTTCATCGAGCAGCCCATATTTTTTTTTAATTAAACTCAATATCACGTTTTGCTAATAACGTCTTGTTAAACATTTTTTTTAAATTCATCGGTCGGTGAACTAACGATTATTGTATATTTATTTAGTTTAAAACATGTTGGGTAGTTCGTGACTTGTCCGGGTGAGATTTGAACACAGTTTATTCCTTTTAAATCCGGTTGTTGGCCCATTTGTACTGTTCGTTACCCACGGTTCCCCTGGTACATGACCCTTGCACATTGTAGAAGAAACACGCGCAGCTGCCAAGGATTGGTGATTGACGTAGTGGAATTAAATGATCCTTCTCCCCTTACTAAAAATATAATATATTGTGACTGCCTAAACCTCAACTTAAAGAATTAATCCTGGCTTGGTAAACTTGTTTACAAACAAAGCGGTATAATTTAAGTAAATCCATGCGGTTGTTCAAAACAACATTAATCCATTATCTGCGTCATCACTGCGAAGAATATAATTGCATGACACATTTGCGTTTTCGTTTGTCTTCATTAGGGTAAGGGCACATATGACAAATAATAAGACCATAAATTTGCTTTTACCTTCTGAACAATATTTAAGCGTTTTATGTACGTAAATTTACACGCTTGGCAAAATTAACGGTTTCATGCTTGAACTAAAAAAAAAAAAACACATTTCCATAAAATCTATGATCAGACTAGCAGCGTGGTCAAAACTGTTATCGTACCCTTGTCAGAATTCCAACTGTGTTCGACACAGCTTCAACTCGCCGAAATAAATCCCATTCTCGTACGTAAGCATTACCTCAATTGATTAATGCTGACGCAAAAACAATGATAGATAGCACAAATCCGGAATGTGTTAACCCTCATGAAGGATTTTAATCAAAACAAAAAGCGATGGGTATTAATCTTGATATCCGGCTTAATGTGCTGGCGGGTGAGACAACAAACGTGAATCAGACGGTAAGTTGAGATTGTCAATGTCACATTTTCATAGTTGACCGTTTTAAATGTTTCGTGATGAATGTCTTATACCAAGCTTTATAAACTTAAAGACAATCTGATTCTACGTTAAATCCACTTTAATTTTTCGATGGATGTGTTATGCAAGATGCAAAATTCATCACGTAGCTTAATCCAGGCCGCAAAACACCAAGTCGGTCCAACTCCGTTGATGAGAACGGCTTCAAACCCGTGCATGATATACACCCACAATACAAAACTCTGACACACATCGTCATCGTCAAGCGTAGTTTTAATCTGCGGCAGCAGCCTTCGCCTGCAGCAATCGTACGTAGAACATGATGGCATCCAGTAGAGGCATTGCGTTCGCCATTATAGAGCCAGCAAAGCAAAAGTGCATATGGCGAAAGAAAATGTACCAACTTTCGTAATCCTTCAGACACGCACACATTCATCTGAAGCGACCCAACAACGGATAGAGGTACCCACAACGTGCAACACGTCGGTCGCGTGATATGAGTTCCCAAACTCTCGTAGGGGGTCGTCACCGTCGTCGTCACCTCTCTGGGCTGGATGGCGCTTTCGCCCGAATGTCAACGCGTCTAACGGAAAGTGCTCCATCTTTTTGCAACTTTCCAGCAATGAAACAATGGGGAATATATTCAGCTAGGCACCTCGAAACAACCACAACATCCGGCTATCCGTCGCCAAGCAATCCAACTGAGATAAGAATAACGCACACACCCGCCTCTTCTTGGCGGTGGTTCAGAGCGGAATTCAGATCCATTGCGCTTTTGTTGTCGTTGTTGGTTATGGGAAGGAAACGTAGCTACACACTAGAAAATATGGATCCATGGGTGTGCGGAGTTTAATCATCGCCATATGAATACCCCAGGACACGTCGGGGGTCTAGTCGGATTGTGGTCACAATTGGAATGGTGGTTTTGCGAATGTAGGTTCGGTACGCTTACATACATCGTCTCTGCTGCCGGGGGGAATGGGTTCCTCTGATGAGGGGGGACGTAATTTAATTTTAAAACCACTAATTTCTCTTGGGAAAGCAGTTGGTGGGCCATTGACTGAAAGGCGTGAATGGTTATTGCATAAGTAAAATCCAACGGTGTTTCGGAGGGATTCTTGTCATGTACTATAAGTACAAATCCAACATGATCATTCTTTCCTGGACTTGGATGAGAAACTATGAGTATGACCATTATTTGTATAATAATTATGAGTACTGTACAACAAGTATACAAATACTATACAAGTGTGACCATGAATGAATTAAGCATGAGAAATTACTAATCCTTCTCTCTCTATCTCTTTATAATGCTCCGTTGATAACTGTAACTGCGCACTAAAACCCTTAGACCAAACCGAGATGGATTAGTAGAGTAGGGTTACCATATCCAAAACTTGAAAAGGAGGACATTTGAGCTTTGGAGATTAAGGAGGACAATTTGTTTTTATCAAACGTTTTAATAACATGTGCGCAATCACAAAATTCAAGATTTACAAAGGTTCAATTGAGATTGTTCATAACTTGTAGTTGTTACCATTCAATTCTTATTATCGTTATGCTTCTTAAAAAATGCATCAAACTAGCCTTCATAATTCAGTTTCGATACTTGTAAGTGATCTTACTTACCTTACCAATCAGGCTAAGGCCTTGTTGTCCTCTGCTGTCCGAAGAAGTCGTCTCCACTCTACTCGATCCATGGCCACAGTTCGCCAGCCTCGTAGTCTGCGAAGGGTCCGCAGGTCACCTTCTACTTGGTCGATCCACCTTGCCCGCTGCGCGCCTCTTCTTCTTGTTCCTGTTGGGTCGCTTTCTAGAACCATTTTCACTGGGTCATCGTGCGGCATTCTTACGACGTGCCCAGCCCACCGTAGTCGCCCAATTTTTGCAATGTGGACGATGGATGGTTCTCCCAGCAGCTGGTGCAATTCGTGGTTCATTCGCCTCCTCCACGTTCCGTCATCCATCTGCACTCCACCGTAGATGGTACGCAACACCTTCCGTTCGGAAACACCAAGGGCGCGTTGGTCCTCCACGAGCATAGTCCAGGTCTCGTGGCCGTAAAGGACCACCGGTCTAATCAGCGTCTTGTAGACAGTCAACTTCGTGCGGCGGCGAATTTTATTCGACCGGAGCGTCCTCCGGAGTCCAAAGTAGGCACGATTCCCTGCCATAATGCGTCTTTGAATTTCTCTGCTGGTATCATTTTCGGCGGTCACCAGTGAGCCCAAATACACGAACTCATCGACCACCTCGATTTCGTCACCGTCAATCTGAACTCGGGGTGGGAGGCTAACATTGTCTTCCCTAGAACCTCTTGCTTTCATGTATTTTGTCTTTGATGCGTTGATGGCAAGTCCAATCCATCTAGCTTCAGCCTTCAGTCTGATGTACGTTCCCGCCATCATCTCAAAGTTCCGTGCCATAATGTCAATGTCATCGGCGAAACCAAGGAGCTGGATGGACTTCCTGAATATCGTGCCACTCGTGTCTATCCCAGCTCTTCTGATCACACCTTCTAACGCGATGTTGAACAGCAGACACGAAAGTCCATCACCCTGCCGTAACCCCCTTCGAGATTCAAAGGGACTCGAGAGTGTCCCCGATACTCGAACAACGCACATCACTCGATCCATCGTGGTCTTGACCAATCGCGTCAGTTTATCCGGAAATCCGTACTCGTGCATAATCTGCCATAGCTGATCTCGATCGATTGTGTCGTATGCGGATTTGAAATCGATGAACAAATGAAGTGTGGGCACGTTGTATTCGCGGCATTTCTGCAGAACCTGCCGAATCGCGAAAATTTGGTCCGTGGTAGCGCGGGCACCCATGAATCCCGCCTGGTATTGCCCCACGAACTCTCTTGCATATGGTGACAGACGGTGGCATAGAATTTGGGAGAGTACCTTGTAGGCGGCGCTCAGCAGTGTGATCGCGCGGTAGTTGCAGCAATCCAACTTGTCGCCCTTTTTGTAGATTGGGCATACGACACCTTCCATCCACTCCTCCGGTAATATCTCCTCCTCCCAAATCTTGGCAATTACCCAGTGCAGCGCTCTAGCCAGTGCTTCACCACCGTATTTCAATAGCTCACTTGGTAGTTGATCTACATCAGTTGCTTTGTTGTTCTTCAGCCACCTTCGTTTTCTGCTGCTTCACCGTTGAGGTGCTCGTCATAGTACTGCTTCCACCTCTTAATCACCTCACACTCGTTCGTGAGAAGGTTACCGTCCAAGTCCTTGCACATATCGGCTTGCGGCACGTAGCCTTTGCGCGAACTATTTAGCTTCTCGTAGAATTTCCGTGTGTCGTTTACGCGGTACAGATTTTCCATCGCCTCGCAATCTCGGTCTTCCTGCTGACGCTTCTTCCTTCGGAAAACCGAGTTTTGTCTGTTCCGCGCTTGTCTGTATCGCTCCACATTCAATCTCGTGCGGTGTAGCAGCATTCTCGCCCGTGCTGCATTCTTCTCCTCTATTAACAGTTTGCATTCGCCGTCAAACCAGTCATTTCTTCGGTCCGGG